TCTCTCTCTCTCTCTCTCTCTCTCTCTCTCTCTCTCTCTCTCTCTCTCTTTTATTTCTCTCTATCTACGTCTCAACTTTTTCCACAATGGGAACATTTCTATGGCAACTGGTCACCATGGAACAATTCCTCCCCGCGCTGCCTCATTCACTGACGACGTCACACACACTCAGAGCGCCAACCGACGGCCCACAACAGCCAAATTAATAACTCCTGCACGTGCCTTCCCTGCTTTCAAATGACGTAGACGTCGCTGCTGATCACGGGCGTCACAGACGAGGCATTTGCATCAGCGTGGATAAATTCAACCTCTTTGAAGCCGGGGAAAATGTCAGATATCTGGTTTAAAAATGTGTTGCTCCAAAAATGTGATTCCTAATACAAAATCTGACCAAACACAGCTAATGTTGCTCTTCTGGGGTGCCTGATGTTTAAAGCATTACAGATGCGTCCGAACCCGTCTCTCACAGTGCCCACTATTCAATAACAGGCCTGAGTGGCGTGATAGCGAATAGTGAGAGGCTGCATCTCATAATGGATCACTTAGGCACCGCTAATCGTCGCCTGGCTGGCTCGCTGCGACACATCGGATCCACACCCAGATGGCACGCTCTGACGGATAAAAGAAGGTGGATTCATCATCATCTCTGTGGCACTAAGCATCCCGTGAACTTCAGCTCCAGAATTTCTAGACGCAAAGGCCGGAGGGTGTTAACTGTTTGGCAACAAATGGCTTGTACTGCAGTAGATGATGATGGTTCATTGTGGATGCACCAGTCTAACCAAAGAGCCCTCTAAGCCACTTCTCATCTAATATCTTAAGAGTATCCTGTCAGTCCATCTGCTTTTTGCGATATGAAACCCCAGAATCAACTGCGTCAGAAACTCTGGTGCAACCAGCGGAAGTCAGCTAAGCATTCAAGTGAGCCGCAAAAAACAATGTGAACAGCTCACAGCTGAGTCGATCCAGCCATGCATGTGTGAGCTATAACGGAGCAATCAGTCTGGCTGTTCAGTAGTAATATCTTCAAGAGACTGCGTGTTGTCCACATTACACTCAGTGACACTGACAATCCATTTGAAAATCCCAAATTAAAAATGATTTGCTAATTTCTGCTGAATGGCTTGCAAATAATTAGAAAGCAAGTGGTTAACATTAATGAGAAACTTAAATGGAGAAAGAACTCCAGAGGTTGGAACACACGTTGATAAGGTAATTAACAATCCTTGGAAAGGGATGAGAAAACAATGTTCTGCTTCGTGTGACGAATTACTGCGAGACTGTCATCTTTGATTAGGGTCTGTGTGGTCCGCCGCCGACTAGCTTGTAACACACTGGAGGTTGATTGTCGCTTGGCTCAAATCATAAAGTGATATTCAAAGAACATCCAATAGTCTGTGTAACAATAAATACAAATGTCTACAGAGATTGGATTTTATTTTTCTTATGAAGTAGGTCAAACAAGACTGCAGGCTCATTCAAACATCACAGTAAAAAGACATGTAACAGTTGATTATGACTGGAATTGCAGTTATTTAACATAATATATATATAGATATATATATATATATATATATATATATTATATTGCTATGGTTTCCACAATAGGTGATTTTTCAGTTGCCTATTTACAATCTGAATTTACACAGTAGGTTGTTTGTTCTGCAGCCTAATGCTTTTATTAACCCTTACTGCACATTTAAGGGTCACAATAGCAACACTCCTGGTTTAAGAACAACTTTGGGCTCTTTGGGACTTTTTCCCTTCAAGCACCTTGAAGTGGGAAACGGTGTCAGAAATCTATTTTCTAAATTATCCTTTTAATGTCATAAAAAATAAGTTAAGAAGCGAGGTACACCTTTCCACTTCAATGCCTCATTTGCTTGATTTGAATCGTCTTCATCTATTATAAAACTCTTAGAAACATCAACTGACCCGTGTTTTAATGATTTAAGGCACGAGGCCTAAGTGAGCTTAACTACATTAGCTAGGCTGCAGATTTTACCCAAAAAAAGAATTAAGGGGCACCTCGCTGAAGTCCAGTGCGCCCAAAGGTGCTGTCAGAATCAGTCTGCGCGCCAAGCAGGTCCGCGTGTTCCCCAAAAGCGCGAGGTCAGACCAGGAGGTCGCAGCTCTCCAGTCCA